ATGCTTGGTTCTTCTGCCCTTCAAGGGAGGAAATATGGGGGCTTTTATGCTTGGTTCTTCTCCAATTCAGGGGAGGACATATGGGGTTTGTATGTCCGGTTCTTCTTTTCTTCAGGGGAGGACATATGGGGGGCTGTATGCTTGGTTCTTCTCCCCTTCAGGGGAGGACATATGGGGGGCTGTATGCTTGGTTCTTCTCCCCTTCAGGGGAGGACATATGGGGGGCTGTATGCTTGGTTCTTCTTCCCTTCAAGGGAGGAAATATTGGTGCTTATATGCTTGGATCTACTCCCTTTCAGGGGAGGAAATATGGTGTTTGTATGACAGGTTCTTCTTTTATTCAGGAGGAAGACATATGGGGGTCTGTATGGTTGGTTCCTTCCCCGTTCTGTGATAAGACATGTTGGGCTTGTGTTTTTTCCCCCTTTGATGTACAATTACACAGTTTTCTCCTCTGGGGGATCCTGGTGCAGTTTTACCTAATTTGCAAACATCTTGGAGATTGGCACTGACATTCATTTACCTGTGAGTCCACTTAGGAAGAGTCAGAGGCCATGATTGTTGGAAAGTGGGTAGTCCTCTCCCAAAGAGCGAGGCTGCTCTGGCTACGATGTGGCTGACACATGTCTTTCTCTCCCTCTGCCTACTGTGCCAATGTTGAAGCTGGCTGCTCTGGGGGAGGGATGATGTCTGGAGTACCCACATGATCTGCCCTTTGTAGCAGGTTGCCTAGCAAAGAGGGGAGGGGGTGCTCATCTGAATCAAGCTTATGGGTTTCTTTTGGTCCTTTGTGGGGAATGGTATCGTTATGAAATGGTCCCTGGGGGGATTCCCCCTAGCTGATAATATTTGTGAGATTTTTGGTTCTCAGTCAGGTCATCCTTGTCCAATAAATACATTGCTTTAGCTATTGAGGTGTTTTGTTACTTACACGGAACGTTCCTCATCTCACCCCTAGCCTCTTAGGAATGGCCCGATTCCTCTCCATATGTTAGGGAGGTTTCCTGAACTGACATGGCAGAACAACTGTGAATGTGGATAAAGATTCAATATGCTCAGGAAGCAGATGGAAGATTCCTTTATTATTCCCGGAGAAATGGCACCCCTCTCGCTCACCACTGATTTTTCCTACCACTCTACCCCGTTTATAACTCAATATGGCCAGGGCTATCCCAGGGAATGAGTCGCAGTCCTTTTAAGGACCCCACAGTCAGAGCAGCATGAGCGTTCACACAGTCTATGTACATCTTCGAAAGTTATATTGCTCCAGGTGTTCCAAAACATTCACATCTGCATGCAAATGCCCCCCCCCCCCCCCCCATGTACTGATTTGCTCCACCAGTACTTCTTTAGTGGGGAAAGTCTGCTCTCTCTTGCAGACAGTGTGCAGTTTAGGAGTGTGAGAGAAATGTTAAATTCCTGTATATACATCACTAACTTCTTCCTTGTCACGTATTCACATTCCTGAAACACCGATAAGACACTGGCCTCACCTATGTACTGGCCACACCTATGTACTGACCCAGCCTATATACTGGCCACATTTACTCCATTGTAACTGTAAAACCTCATATGAAACCTTGGTTATGATGTATAAACCTTGGAATAGCTACTTGTAAAGATACACATTGTGTGTCTTTCATCTCTTCTCTCACTGCAATGATATTATACAGATTTCATTGGGAGACACAAATCAACTCTCAGACACCGCAACTTCCAGGATAGGAGATTATATTCCTTTTCTTCTGAATTCTTTGTTCCCCTCCAATCCTTGCGTCCCTCCCCCAGCACTCACAAGGCATCCATCTCGATGTTCTGGGCCTTCCTGAACAAGATGTTGTCCATCCATGGACAGAGCCCAACCAATCCTTGTTCTCAAGGTGCTCAGTGTGACAATAAGGAGGTTTGAACATATCAATATTGGGTATGATATTCTCTTTTCCCTCACCTTAGAACAAATGCAGCCTTCAATAAGTTCAAATGACCTCAGGCTGCCCCCTGTTTGGTTTAGTCGTTTTGAAAAACGATATCTGCTAATCTGGCCTGCAATCTCTATAGTTCTACCCTCCTCACCTTTTTTATGGCGACCACCAATGAAATTCAACCAAGCATAATTGCAGATCACCAATACATTAGCATTTGACAGGTTGAGGTAAACACAAGAGGGTCCGGTAAGGATAATGACCCCGGTGACCTCGCATCCCACTAAGTCATAAAAGTAAGAGTTACAATATTATCCCGATTTTCATAACTTGAAATTCGAGAGTGATAATATAAAATTAATTGCACAAATAGCTGTCTCTCGTCAAGACAAAGCCATACATATCAATCATGGATGGGTTATGATGGTCAGAGGCCTGACAAGCCACATTAACCCTCCTGGGCCAACCATAATGCATGTAAATGCCAAGTTTAGTCTCAATATAAAGCTATTTTCATGGTGTACAATAATCTAGGGGTTGTCAGAAAATATTGTGTTTGAACATTTAATTATATGAATTTGACGGTTTGGGAGGAGCAGAGAAGGGCATCGTAAAGGCTTGACCCTCCTGCTCCCCCCCCCAGCCCTGCCTTATGGGCCAGCTCTGTGACACCCCTTAGAGGGCTGACAAAAAGATGCTGCAGAAGCGGCTAGAGGGCTCTCATTGTAACATCAAAAAGAGGGACTTCTGCAACACCAAGAAGCTCGTAAGATCCTAGAATCCTAGAAAATCTGTACAAGCCTTACTTGGAGAAGAGCCACTCAGACCTCTTTTTATTGAACTGGACTCTGTCAGAACTCATAAATCCATGACTGTTGAGTACTTCCTTTTTATTTGGGATGCACAGATACCAAGTACCGTACTTGGTACAAGTACCAGTTCAGACACTGTTCCAGCTCCATTGAAAGACTAGACTAGAGAAAAACTCAAAAGTATGGAGGCAGCTATTATTTTTAAGGAACATTGGCTACGGGGCTCCTGGGATTTGTGCATCCCTATTTTCATGTATGATTTGTTTTATATCGATATAGATATGGGATGCATCAATACTGTTTTTTCAGTATCAAGTGTGAGTACCAATATTGATATTTCGTCACTCGCCAATACTCAGAACCAATACTAGTACGTCTGCTAGCATGGAGCTGGCTTCCTGGGCAATCAGGAAGCTGGGCAGCGTGTCATTACCCACTGCCTGGCTTCTTGATTGCCCAGGAAGCCGGCTCCATGCTGTTTGGAAGGCTCCATGCTGATTGGCCAGGAAGCCGGCATCCCAACCAATCAGAATGGAGCCGGCTTCCTGGACAATCAGGAAGCAGAGAGGTGGAACATTACTGGCTGCCCGGCTTCCTGATTGGCATTGAAGCTGGCTCCATGCTGATTGGCTGCTAAGTTGCTACGTTGGATTTTATTAGAGATGAAACAATATTCCTCTGATCTATGAAAAGGACAAACATTTCCCAGACAAGGGGAGCCCAATGTAGAGATATCTTGTTGTGTGGTGGAAGCATCCACAGATGTCCACTCCTATCTGACCAACAATCTGACGGACCTGACAGGCGCCATTTATATAAGTTGGATGAGAGATATGTCCATGTCCAGGCCCAAGCTGTCTATTCAGATTCTTATTATGGACATCGGTCTCCTCTGCTCTACTCATTAGTAAATCAGAAGTAGATATTGTTTCTATTCTGTTCTGTGTTTGTGTCTTATATATAGAAGAAAATGATTTCTGGAAGACAATACTGACCATAAAATGTCCTGATTGTCCCCAAAATCTGCCCCATGTGTTCCATCGCTATGACAACTCATGACAGAGATATTGTGGGATGTGATGAGGAAACCAACAAGCTGAAATCACGGTGAAGGTTCAGAAAGTTTATTTAGAAGAGAAGAGTTACAAAGTAAAAGTAAAGATGAAAAAGTAGAGAGATGAAGACACGGAGATCCTTAGACATGGCGGGAGGACCAAGGATCTGACCTCTTCACCTGACCTCCAATCCTGGACAGTTGTCATGGAGGACCGCCCCCAAACATAAACATGTGACCTATGACATCATTGAGTGAAGAATTTGTACAAGCAGCACATCATTCATTACAAGAGACATTCATTTCTGTCATCTCAGAACACCTCATCAGCTTGTCCCACCTCCAGACCCCCAAATACCTCATTGTAGAACAAGGAGACCAACTGTCACTGTGTTCTACAACAAGACATTCCAAGGATCCGGAGAACAACCATTTGTTCTAATCACATCTTTCTGTAAAGTCATTCCAGCAAGTCAGCCTGTTATTCTAGAAAGAACCCAACATGAGCATAGAAGCACTTAGTGATGTCATCTCATCATTAGTAACGCAGATCAGAAGGATTTTTCTTTATCACATGAATAGGACCATAGAGGAAATGTAACCATTGTTCTGCCCCATAAGGATCATAGAGGTGCCGGGACTGAAGGGGATAATGGGGATTGTAGTCCAATCTGTCCCATTATTATATCTATATCCAATCATTGATCAATATTCCCATATACAAAGCCAAGGATTTCCACTTCCTGAGACTGTATACCCCTCGTCACCTCTCCACATTACCCCACACACACACAACACGGCCATCATAATCAGGATTCACCGACATCTGTTTAACATTCACATCTAAGGACTGCAAGGTATGGGGGGAGGGGTATGGTATAGGGACTGGAAGGTGTGGGGTACAGTCTCAGGACTGGAAGGTATGGAGGAGGGATACGGTCTAAGGACTGGAAGGAATGGGGCAGGGGTATGGTCACATCTAAGGAATGGAAGGTAAAAACCTGACAAAAGGTTCTAATCCTCCCCCGCTGCATCCAAAACTGAAAAATATAGAAACACCTTAAATGTGCAGACTCCAGGAGTTTCATCTGAATCCTGACTACACTACCTAGTGTGTCACTGACCTGCAACTAGCATGCAGCCTGTGAAGTGTGAATAATCTGAACTGTTCCTGGTCAGTTACACACAAGGTAGTGAAGTAACGTTGAGGATGAAGATGACAGCCCCGGAGCCTGCAGAGCCTTATAAATCAGTAATGCCATTTCCTGTCCACTGCTTCCTCCTATTGACTGAGTATTCCACCAATCAGATTCTCCACCCTGTGATGTCACCAGTGTCTGGTCAGATTTCTCACATCTGATTCCCCCCACATATCTTCATACAGGAACCTACCCCTACCCATAACCCGGCATGGAGGGGCTCAGTGAAGGTGGTGGTGAAGGTGTGGAGGAGTCGGATCGGGTCACACAGATCATAAAAGGAGATCCGCCCGGCCTCATAATCCAGATCTATCCTGAATCTGTTACTGGGGACATTGCCAAGTAATGAGATTTTCATCCTGTCATGTATCACTGAGTACTGAGTATGATTCCTCTCCATACCCCAGGACTTCTTATTATCTCCAATCTCTGACTGACCTATCCTGCCTATACTGGGGTAACACATCCCGACTCTCCACCACACTGAACCCCCGACATCCACTTCCCAGTAATGTCGTCCTGAAGAGAAACTCTTAATGCTCAACACCTGAGGACACAGAAATCTCTCTAGAGTTTGTAGACGATTCAGACTTTTACGTAACCAGGTTGCAGTTTTCTTGCCATGTGATATTCGTAGATTATTACCAGCTGTGCTCACATCCAGTAATATGTCTGTAACCTCCCACACCCCCGATGTTTGCTGTACAGCCCCAATATTATAGCCTCCAGTCTGGAGGTGTGAGTGTTGTATGGTGGGGGTGGGTTGAGGACATGGTCTAGATGGTTCAGCCAGGATGTGAACGTTGTCCTCAGTACTAGAATGTGGATAGACACGTGTGCCTGGACCTTCCTGTACAATTACCCCAGACATGATATCAGATATACCTGTGTGTAATGTGTGTGAGATCCCAGCCACATCCAGATCCCCTCCATCATGGAGGAGTCTATCATGTCTCTCTCTGTCCTCATCATCTCCATCCTCAGTATCACACAAGTCACCTGTGTCTGATTCCTGTAAGACAGTCAGTGGATCCATCATGTTACACAGCTCCTCAATGTGACGCATCTTACTGTACAGCTCATCCTTCTTTATTTCCAGCTCCCGGATCATATCCGTCACATAGAGGGAGGTCCGCTCTGCCTGCCCGGAGATGTCACTCAGGACTCTCTTCTCCAGGTCCTCCAGACGTCTCCTGAGGTCTCTGAGCAGGGCAGTGACTCTCTCTGTTTCACCAGCTGCTTCTCCTTGTACTTTCCTCCTGTGTTCCTCCAGACTCTGGACTCTTTTCTCCGTCTCCTCTCTCTCTGTCATCAGTTTCTGCAGAGCCTTTCTCCATTTCTTCTTCTTCTTCTCAGAGGCCTCATCCAGAGTCTCCACCTGATGTCCCCGATGTTCTCCGGCCAAACTGCAGGACACACAGATACAGGCAGAGTCCTCAGTGCAGTAATACTCCAGGATCTTCTTATGGACGGAGCATTTCATGTTCTCCAGGGAAGTGGTGAGGTCACATAAGACGTGTTCTGGTGCCTTGCTGTGGACTCTCAGGTGGTTGTCACACAGAGAAGCTTCACACATCAGACAGGATTTCACAGCAGGTACAGGAGTGTGAATACAGTAAGTACAGAAGACCCCGGTCTCCTTCTGATCTGGCTGAGCAGACAGGAAATTCTCCACTATGTTACTTAGTGTTATGTTCCTCTGCAGTGCAGGCTGCTTCTGGAACTCTTCTCTGCATTCAGGACAGGAATAACCTCCAGACCCCTCCTGTGTATCCAGCACACGACCAATACAATCCCGGCAGAAGTTGTGTCCACATTTTAGGGTTACAGGGTCTTTATAAATGTTCAGACAGACGGAACATTCCAGCTCAGCTCTCAGATCAGAAGACGCCATCGCTGACAGCAGAAGAGAAATGACAGTGAAAGTCTCTGACACTCCTTAACCAGTGTGATGGGTTCTGTACACTCCTACACAGGGCGAGGCTGAGACTCGTATTCATAGGAATCCTTATACAGAGGACACAGATAATACACGGGAGGATTCCTGACAATAATCTCCATATCTGAGGAAGAATAAAGGTCTTTTAATAATCTGTGGAAATGTTGTGTCAGGAATTTCCCTTCATATCATTAGCACATTTCACAGACAAAGGAACACAAAGGTGATGTATTTGGCTGTGTAGCACCCTGTAACCAGTCTGAGGTAGATCTGTAGTGCATGGTCATTTGGTTTCTCCTCAGAAATCTGTGGTTGTTTGCATGTGCCTGTTTGATGGGTGTGTCCTTGCCACAGAGCAGAGCAACCAATAGGGGATTGTTCCGAGTATCCTTATCTCCCTGGCCAATCACTGCAAGGTTCAGGCCAGTGGTGCATGCTGGGAGAGGATATAAATACCTCGGGCGGACCATGTGACAGTCAGTCTCCCTCCCCCGGGCACTGCCTGAGGGGAGGCTGCTGCTGACTGACTGAACTGGCTAGGGCTGAAGCCTGGGCACTAGCCATACACTGATTCTGGCAGCTTAGTGATCAGCTACTGATAATGAGGATGAACATGACTGATGACTTCTGAAGTACTGCTTTGCCAGGTGTTCTTTACACGGATTGCTGTGTCTGGCTTAAAGGTCCTACTCTGTGAATGGCAGCAGTTACTCTGTTCTACTGATGGAGGAGTCTACATCAGCCTGGATGTTCCTAGCCCTAAACCTCTCTCCCTGAAGTTCAGCAATAGCATCTCTCAGCATTTATCTCCAGTCTGGACTTCGCTTTCTCGGTCGCCACAGAGGGTGGTAAGTGCTATTGGGACAGCGAGGTTGCTTAAAATCCATAGACAGGCTAAGGAAGACCCATTCATCCAGCGGCCTTTGCGGGGGTGAGCGCTTCAGCTGTAATAAGACAAGTCATACAGACAGAGCCGGATTACCCACAAGGTGACCTAGGTCTGCGCCTAGAGACTGGCGGGTGTGCATGGGGGCTGTCTGTTCTTCCTTACATTCCACCATCCCTCTACTATCATTAGGCATGACTGGGGTAATTGAGAGGGAAGCTGCCCCAATTACCACCAGACCCATACCCAACCTCCACCCCTTCTATTCCCCAGTACAACATTGGACGACACAATAATGGATTTCAATGGTCATAGTGATCCTTTATTACAAATCATTCCATTCTAATAACAGCAATTAACATGAATACAAAATGGGCCGATGACCCTTGAAGGCTCCAGAAAGAAACTTGAACATCCCAGCCGGAGCATCACATCTGTGTCCAAATCTGTTACTTGCCAGGCCCCCAGCCACACCCTAACACCTCGGGGATGATGGCGGGAAATCTGCTACAGAATCCCCCTCATACACCAGTCCTAGAACACATACAACTAGACCACATTACAACACGAGGTGCCATGTCTTAGATAGATCCCCATCCACTTTATGCAAATAAATGCCTTCAAAGTCCCTCCAAGAACTGCCATGATACCTCAAGCATAAAACCTGTGGTTGAGTGCATCTCCACACTCTCAGGGCTCTTTGTATCTCTCCCTGTATTATTAGGGACCACATATCAGATCCCATTGTATTTATATCCATTCAATGACCCTTAGCCCGCCAACTGATCAGTCCATACAGTGCACCAGATTGTGGTCCATCCAGTTAGATTTTAAGGAGTCCGCCTCTAGTGGTGGATCACAGTATTGCAGACTGCGACAACTGTTTCATAGACCTGTTTATCGTCCCCACAGTAAGTTCTGTTCTCACTTCTCTCCCAAACAAGGTTCTGGTGGCTCAGTCAGATTTAGGATTTCCAACACCAGCACATCATCCCGATTGCAGTAAGTCCAAATGCCACACAACTGCCATGAGCAGGGTCCATACAAGTGATTACTCAGTCCCTAGCTTGTTCTATAAGGCCAGGGCATAGCTTGTTATATTTGTGTGGAGCTTTTATTATGTACTGTAAGAAGAAATCATTCTCATCCCCCATTGCTATGATCTAAGAGAAATGAGTGATGACAGCAGACAGTTTGGTGCCTCCAGTATGGGATGTCCGCACCCCCCTGATCATTTTGCAGTCTCCAGGTCTGAAGGATTCATTGGAGAGTTGGTGAGGTGATAGTTTGATTCCTCTTATCTACATCCACAAGTCTACATGGTCCTGTCAAAAGATCATCAGCAGCTAGGTGTTGGTTCCTCAGAAGCCCGGGCCCAAGATTTCTATTTACATTGTGAACATTTGTCTACTGCTTTGTATATTATACCATCAGCTAAAGAGGACTACATATCCCAGCATGTATAATGTATTGCTAGGATTTGTTGTACTCCTATATAGCTGGTGGTATTCTGCATTGCGCTGTATAGGGGACTACAAACCCCAGCAATAATACATTATACAGCGCAATGCGGAATTCCATCAGCTATAACGTACTATTGCTGGGACTTGTAGTCCTCTATAGCTGGTGGTATTCTGCATTGTGCTGTAGCCTACATGGTCCTGTCAGAAGCCCATCAGCAGCTAGGTGTTGGTTCCTCTGATGCCCGGGCCCAAGATTTCTATTTACATTGTGAACATTTGTCTATCATAATATCATAATATGAATGTAGCGCTCACCCCCGAAGGAGCCGCTGAATAACCGGGTGTTTCTATCCCCCTACACCAACGTACCGCCCAAATGTGGATCCACAGCACACCAACACACCTTTGATCAGTTGAATAGCTGATTTAATCATAACACAACATATGAAAGCAACTATGGCAATAGTATACCCAACAATCACACAAAAGAATATTAAGCAGCAGGATACTAAGGCACTCTGCAACACAGTAGCTGTAGCTATCTGCTGTCAGCACTGATGTATGCGAGGCAAATAGTCTTTAAATGTCCTCCCTTGAATGGGGTGTATGTCCCCTTAAGGTTTCCCTTTGGCAATGCCCAACCCTTCCTAGACTACTGGCCAGTAGTGGTGTCCTAAGTTAGCCGGCGTTGGGGCCCTTACTGTAGTGCAGGTATGAACATCAAACAGGTTCTCAATGTGGCCAAAGGCCTCTCACCAATCCTCAGGTCAGTTGAAAAAAAGATGAAGACTGCTGGCAGGAACTGGGCGTCCTCTCTCTCTCTCTCTTCAGCTCAGGCTCAGTAGGGGAAGTCATCTGGGTCACTGGTAGGAGGTTTTCACTCATCCAGGATGTTTGCAGTCATCTCGGTTGGCTCCGTCTGTCTCTCTCTCTCTCTCTCTCTGCTGGGCTGGCTGGATCACTCTGACGGCTGGTTCAGCCGTGCAACTAGGCCTCAGTTCGGCCGCTCTTACACAGTCTCTTTGGTTCAGCAGATGAACATCAGTCCTTCAGAGTGCTGCTGTACAGATTCTGTGTGTCCCAATCTGTCAGTGGGAATCACACAGCTCTGTTGCATGCAGTCTTAATTCACACAGTCCCACACACAGGCCTGTCTTCTCCAGATCCCCCAGTCAGACTGGGCATGCTCAATAGCTGCAGTTCATACCCCTCCTCCTTCCTCTCGCACAGCCTCCTGGGATGTGTAGTTCCAAAGAGCTCTATTAGCAAAGTTCCAGAGTCAGCTCTGCACTTCAATCCCCATAAGTCTCTGCCTCCAGGACACACAGAGGCCATTAACTGTTCGCAGTCAGGAACATAATTCACTGCAATAGCATACATATAAATATACAGGTGAAACTCGAATAATTAGAATATCGTGCAAAAGTAATGGCAGTAATTGCTGCAAAAGGGGCCCAAACCAAGTACTGAGTACATATGCATGCTTGTACTTTTCAGAGGTCCGATATCGTTCTATGTACAATCCTTGTTTTATTGATTGCATGTAATAATCTACTTTTTTGAGGTTGTGGATTTGGGGTTCTTGGGGTTTTCATGAGCTGTAAGCCATAATCATCACAATGATGACAAATCACGGCTTGAATTATCTTGCTTTGCATGTAATGAGTCTCTCTCATATATTAGTTTCACCGCATAAGTTGCATTAGTGAAATAAATGAACTTTGCACCATATTCTAATTATTGGAGTTTCACCTGTATGTCTATAGGGGCTACATGAATAACAATCATAATATGAATATTAATAAATAATATCCGTATTATTTATCAACACCCACTTCTTACTGCTCGAGAGGGGCGGGTCAGCTAAGAAACACACACCATAAACTCTAGGTTTAAAATAATATATTGTAACAGGAATGTAAACATACACAGCTTGATTATTGATAAAGAAACGATTACAGTACTAACAAAAACACCAAATCATATCAAAGAGTACTACACACAGGAACACTAGCACCGCAGTAGCAAACCAACAATATTAAATACACTACTAACCCAGGGAAAACACTAACCCAACACCTCTATAACACCAGCATATATATGCAAACTGGCTGGCATAACTTGTCAATTGAAGGTACGGTTATTACCCATCCTGTAAGATGTACACAGATTCTGCACTCGGGTTCCCAAAATGGCTTCCTCTCAGATGGCCTCCTTTCAGCTGGGCCTCTCTCCTAAAATGGCTTCCTCCTCCCACGGCCTCTGTCCCAAAATGGCTCGTCTCCTCTCAGGTCCTCTGTCTCCAAATGGCTTCCTTCCTCCCAGGGCCTCAGCCGCTTTATCCTAACTAAACCCATTCGCTATCATTAGAAACTCCTGATTGGTCCACCAAACCTAATCAGAGCTGTCTCACGCTACCGATTGGATGACAACTTAAGTGCCTTTGATCTAATCACCACTTAAGTGTAGCGCCCTCTAAAATGTCGCTATTCAATTTAGAGATACCTTGTACATGAATGTTATCTCGTGTTCATATCCTAGACAATGGACACTCCCAAATTACCACTCAGTGTAAAACCACTTGTATCTTTTAACATATCAAGGTGCCCATTGATCTCGAAGAGCTATGCATGTTATCTTGTGTGATTTCCCTACACAATGGATACTCCCACAATACCACTTGGTGTAAAAGCATTTTAACATATCAAGGTGCCCATTGATCTCAAAGAGAACAAAAGGGCTGAGATCTGCCGGGCGTATTAGCATGCTAAAAAAACGAATCCCTTTTATCTACACCAGTCTCAGAGAAACCCAATTACAAGGCCCAGAGGTGGCTTCTAAGAGAGCTTTGTTCTATTACATTGTTTCTGGAATTCTGTGGGTTTTGGTAATATTCTGATGTCATTATGATAAGATGGTAAGATGATTTGTTCCTATTGGTGCTCTCCTTGTACATATAGTGCTTCACCGTCTGTACTTTTCATGTCACTTTGGATGATGAAGGAACCCGCCGCATATCTGAAACATTGCACTTCTGTCTGACCTGCTGAACACGTATTAATAAAATACTATTTGTCTGAAGATGGAAAGGTGTGCTGGTCATATTCATATCACCGTGGTATTGCAGGACACGGCCAAAGACATGGAGGACAGACCGTCTCCTAAACTGGGGGGAAGAAGCTTAATAGTGACCCCCGGTGATCATTATTTGTTTGGATGGTGTGTGGTGGCTGAGATTACTCATCAACCCAACCCCGTGTGATATACCAGAGTAACGAGTACTGAGCCCTCCAATCTTTATTCCTTAATGAGGAGATAATGAACATTTACCGCCTCCTCATATTGTGAATAAACAAGAATTGATCTATACTGAGCCCTCCGGTGTTGTGAATGGACAGGAAGTGATTTATACTGAGCGCCTCGGTTTTAATTCATTGATGAGGAGGTAATAAACATATATTATCTCCTTATTTTATGAATGGACAGGAAGTGATCTGTACTAATCACTCCAATGCTCATTCATAAATGAGGAAATAATAAACATTGACCAACTCCTCATATTGTAAAAGGACAGAAAATGATCTGTACAAAGCACACAAATGTTCATTCTTAATTCAGGAGATAATAAACATTTACCACCTCATCATAATGTGAATGAAGAGGAAGTGGACAGTACTGATCTCTCTGGTGTTCATTCATTGATGAGGGGATAATAAACATTTACCACTTTCTCATATTGTAAATGAACAGGAGCTGATTTGTACTGATCACCCCAATGTTCATTCATAACTGAGGAGATGATACACATTTACTACCTCCTCATCTACTGAATGGACAGGAAGAGATCTTTATTGAGCACTCCAGTGTTCATTCATAACTCATGAAAATGTACGACGAAGAGATAATAAAAATTTACTTTCTCCTATTATGAATGAACAGGAAGTGATCTGTACTTATCATTCGAATGTTCATTCATTAATGAAGAGATAATAAACATTTACCACTTCCTCATTTTTTTAATGGACAGGAAGTGATCTGTACTGAGCTATCTGGTGTTAATTCATTGATGAGGAGATAATAAACATTTACCACCTCCTCATCTACTGAATTGACAGGAAGTGACCTTTACTGAGTAGGGATGCACCAATACTAGTATCGGTATCAGTGCCAATACTGGGCATTTTTATGAGTACTTGTGAAAATGTCCCGATACTAGAAACTGATTCCGCCACTTTAGATTTTCAAATCGATTCAGCTGCCTAAGGACCCACGCTTGCTGGGGACCTTGCGGCATCCTTCTGGGGAACCATGCAGAACTGCTTAGAGCACTTCTGCCAGCTGCACATCTCCCCTGCTTAGACCTTCCACATCTCTTCCTGCTGAGACCCTCCACCTGAGACATCAGGCTAGTACCGTAGAGCAGTGCGGCAGCACAGAGTGTGATGGACTGAACCGTCACTGCGGCTGTTGGAGGAGCCTGAGGGCTAGCCTCCTTCCTACTGATTAAGGACCTAGGACTATGGAGACCCCCCTTGGACCTCTTGGGGTTAGAATGAACCATTCTCCTAGATTTATGTGTGGAGGGATGTACGGCACATTTTCCCCGGCATTACATTTAAGTGACCCTGTGTTTATTATAGGTACAGGCTGTGAATCCAGCAGCACTGAAGGGGGACAATTCTGGACATTGAACTTGTTACAGTTTATTGGTCCCTTTGTTGTATTGTGTTGATGAGGGGATTAAGATAGCTGACTCTAGGAGTAGCTGACTCCGGCGGAAGAGGAGTCGATTACCATGGTAGGCGCTCAGCAGATAATCCCATCACATGTGTCTCCTCTCTCCCTATTCATTCATTAAGGCATCGGGGAGGGGATGTCTGTTTGCATGCTGTTCATGTTTGATTCTGTTATGTTTTTAGACTTCTTGAACTGTATAAATACTGAGCTGGTCTTCAATAAAGCAGTTCTTGATTTCCTCTTCAACATTGGTTGTGCCGCCCCAATGGGGCATATAATATGTTATTAGCATTGTTAGTAGATGAGAATTTTTCATAGATTGTTTCTCTATACCATTTTCTATGGACCTTTATATATTAGTTCCTATGCTGCCATCTAGTGGCCTTTCGTGATAATGCACCTGTTTTTCCTGTATTCCTTTCCTGATCTATGACACATTTCCTGTGTGTAATGCTCCACCCTTCTTCTTGTTGGTCAGTACTTCCTGTGTCATGGCCACAGCCAACAGGCCACATGTGACAGGGACACGTGTATTCTGCACAGTACGCTACGAAAGCATCATCTTATGACCACGCATAATACCTCAACCATTCATCTGTTGTTTCCTGTCATCTGCTGTAACCCTGATGTTCAGAATAAAGCAACCCTTGTGGATGAAACGGTATTTGGTGAGTTCAGCTATCTGATAAGGATTGTCCTCAGTGATTGAATCTGTGTATACAGGCCAGGCATAGAGGTCTCAGCAAGGGATAAGTCACTAGCACAACAATCGGAGTCAGAATATTGGTGTTGTCTGATGATTGAGGAGTTTAGCTTTCTGTCACTATATATTGGTTCTGTCCAATAATTAGGCAGGTTTGGGCTGAGGAGACTGGAATTCAGGTTCCAGCAGAGAGGAAGCTGATTTCTGATGGAGGTACCCAGTCGGGGTACCGGGCGGTCCATCACACAGAGTATGTAGCAAATGTATATGCTATTCTGCATTGCTATATAAAGTATTTCTGGGATTTGTAGTCCTCTATAGCTGATGGTATTATTCTGCATTGCTGTGTAATGTATTACTAAGATTTGCAGTCCCTCTACAGCCTGAAGTCAGTGGCAGAGCTACCAGTGTCACTGACGTACCATCACTGTCCTAAAATCACTAGTCTGTGTTGTTTTAGAAGAACTGTCACATGACACTGAAAAAAAGCTTTCTGTCATTGGTATCGACAAGTACTTGAGGAAAAGTATTGGTGCATCCCTAGTACTGAGCACCCCTGTATTCATTCATAACTAAGGGGAAAATAAACATTTACAATCTCCTCATATGGTTGTGTCCACATCTCAGGGTTATAGGATCTGTATAAATGTTCAGACAGATGGAACATTCCAGCTCCTTCCCCAGATCAGCAGACGTCATCGCTGACAGCTGAAGAGAGAAATCACAGTGACAGTCTCTGACACTCCTCAACCAGTGTGACCAGTTCTGTACATTACTACACAGGGTGAGGCTGAGACCCATATTCATAGTAATCCTTATAAAGAGGACACAGATAATACATGAGAGAATTCATGACAATAATCTCCATATTTGAGTGTGGAGAAGGGGGCTTATTGTAGCCCTGATCCTGTCTTTCTGCTTGCCAATCCACGCCAGCTCCTTGTGGGTTCCCCCTTCCACGCTCCCAGCCTCCCCCCGCTAATGCAGCCTGGGCTTTGATCTCTGACACAGAGCCAGCATATCAAAGGGGTCATCTGCAGATCTTCTGGGCTGTATACTGAGCAGACCTGCAGTGCTTGGTTAGGTGGCATTCATGATACATGAAGGGGGATAGCTAGTGGTTAGCCAACAAGGAGGGAGTTACAGTAGTGCAGGTGAAAGATTACAAGGGAGGGAACTTTAGAAATGTTATGGAAGTTGAGTCGGCAAGATTTGGATAGTGATTGAACATGGGGCTGAAAGGAGAGCTCAGAGTCAAGGATTACACTAAGCACCCTGGCTTGTGGGGAGGGGTTTATTGTGATAGATAAGTCCGGAGGGGGGG